AGCCTCTAAATACGATTTTCCTGATGAGAGGTCTCTTTCATAGGAGAAGACATTGCAGAATCCTATGATGGCTGGAGAATGTTCTTCGACGGAGCAGCAAACTTTAAAGGAGTTGGCATAGGGGTAGTTCTAGTATCAGAAACAGGTCAGAATTATCCGGTGTCCGCCAAACTCAGGTTCCCGTGCACCAACAACATGGCCGAGTACGAAGCCTGCATCTTGGGGCTCAAGCTGGCCATTGACATGAACGTTCAGGAGTTACTAGTGATCGGGGATTCCGACTTGCTCATACACCAGGTTCGAGAAGAGTGGGCAACCAAGAACTCCAAGATACTCCCATACTTGCAGGAAAGAACAAGGTAGATCTTCAATGCCATGTTGTTGAGATGGCCGGATTCAAAGTTGGAGCCAAGATTTGAAGTTTATGGGTTCCGGAATCTGATCCGTTTTATAAGTTACTGTGTTCTAAATTAATAAGTTGTACATATTCGATGAATTTGTTAAAACAAATACATGGTTTGGACAAAAGTTACTGGGTTTGGTCGAACCCGTAAGTTGTGTTCTAGCTCCGTTCCCGGCCGGAACCCCTTTCTTGCTCTTCATCGTCGTCTTGCCTTCTGTTCTATATGTTTGAATGACTAGTGTACAGGATCCTTTATTTTGTTACTTGAACTAATGGATGGAAATGGTGAGTGTATACAATTCTTTAGGTTCAGGTGTAAAGTATCTCTTTAGTGCTAACTTATTAGAGTTTTATTGCGCGCAGAAGTTGGCTGAGTTGGTTGGGTGAGTGGTTTTCCATATGTGAGACCTGGGATCGATTTCCCTCACCAACAATCTCTTCAGTCAAAGCTCGTCGCATCGATATTGCCTAGTGCGGTTTACATCTCTTGTGTGTTCTCTAGCTATCAGTGAACAGACCAATCAGGGTTGACATAGCATTCTGCTATCTGCACATCTTTGTATAATGCTAATCAGTAGAGGGGTTAAAAAAAAGTCAGGCTGCAATTTTTAAAAAAATAAAACGAAAGGAGTAATGCAAACAGAAAAATGATACATATATTAAAGAGTGCAAAATAGAAAGAACTCAAACTTGTCAGTCAAGTATTTACTATCATAATAATCAATATAATTTCAAAAAATTCCCTAGAAGTTTGAAGTGACACAACCCCAATTTTCATAAAACAAAAACTCGACAAGTAAAGGATTAGGAATCCCTTGGAAGTGAAAAAAATTAACTTATAGACAATATCAAAAAATATTACTACATAATAAGTGTTTTTAATGTGTTATATCAAATAATTAACCTACCTTATTTTTAAGTTATTAATCTCATTCAATTATGAACGAATAATTGCGGTTGATTCTTTAGTTATCTAAAAAGTTATTTTACACTGTAAAAACGAGTTAACACAAATAAAAAAATAAAAAATAAAAAAAGCTCCCGCGCATGTCAGGAATTCCAAATCCAATTCCCAATCAAAATGGGAAACTGGTCGTTGGTTTTCATATCTGATCTACAAAACCTTTGTTACTCGTCGACTTTCCTCTGGTACAAAACCCCAAACATTGAACTTTCTCAAAAATCAATCTGCAGCGAATTCCTCAAATATTCATATTGACATTCCTCTTTAAAGGTATCAAATTGTATGTTTTCCTTCCTTTTTTTAATAAAAAAATTACAAAATCTCTTTTGATAATTAGACCCAAACCCCTTCCTTTCTTAGGGTAAATTATGATTATTGTAACTGGATATGTATGATCGGAAACAATTTCTCTGCCCTTATAGAGTAGGTAAGGCTGCCTACATCTTACCTCCCTCAAACCCCACTAATGGAAATTTAGTGGACTTCTTGTTGTTGTTGTATTATATGTACTTTTACGAGTTAATTATACGTTTCAATGAACTGAAATTGTGACGGTATATATATACTATACTCATTCTTTATATTCAGGCTTCCTTGTGCCGATGAGGTCTGCTTACACAGATGCGGATCTAGGATTTAAACACTATGGGTTCAACCTTTAATGTTTTTAGCATTGAACTCATAGTATATTTAAAGTTATGGTTTCATATCTTTTTTGTAATTGTGATAGATTTTTACACATAAATTTATGATCCGCGTCAAAAGTACTGGGTTCAAGGCACTCGCTTGCTGCATCCGCCCCTGTGCGTATACACTACCCTCCTCGGACCCCACTCGTAGTATTACACTGGGTTTGTTGTTGTTGTAGTAGTAGTAGTATTCTTAATATTCAGGTGTAAAAAAACTCTATAGTACTAGCTAATTAAAGTTATGTTGCTAGAATTGCTTACTAACAAGCTATGTAAACTATAAAGATATATGTATACTACATTCAATATTTTTTAATGGGAGTGTCATAGTTCAATAACATTGATAAAGATGTTTTAAAGTTTTATATGGTCCAAAGTTCTCGTAGTTGCAATTATTGGATCTATTTTGAAGCTAAACTTCTTCATGGCATACTTTGTAGAATAGTTTGTATATATCCATGGCGAAGCTAGGAATTATGCTAAGGGCGTTCAAGATTTACTATACATGTATAAAAAGTAATTTTTGATTTATATACCCAGTATAATTTTTCGATGTTCAACTGACCACCATTTATTGTATGTGGCTACGCCACTGTGTATAATATTGATAAATGTTTGGATGACCACCATTCACCTATGCTATCTATCTGCATAGCAAGAGCTTTGTTCTAACATATATTCATTCCCCATGATTTTATTGTGATAGACATGAGTTGACTTGAGTTTCGATTGATGTCAAGCGTCTAAAAGTATGACATTACTTTCCTGACTATAATGTAGAGCTACGTTGGATTAGTGTATGCAGCATGTTGAAACATGTTCTCATTTATGTTTAAGTTCCCTCTGTTTTGTTCAAATGACCAGAAGTCAGAATGGCAATGACAGATAGCTGTACGAGACTTGCAGTTGGAGGGGACAAACTCGATATGCTTACGGATCTTCCTATTAATGTTATACACCAGATTCAGGATCATTTGTCCATTGAGGATGCCGCAAAAATGAGTGTTTTGTCTAGAGCATGGAGATATGTTTGGGCTTCAAACCCAGAACTCGTGTTTGATGCACGGTTTTGCACAAAGAGAACACCATCAGACACAATAGACATCATTAGTACAATTCTGTTCCAACACCATGGAGCCATTAAGACCTTCCTCCTGGATATATCGATAATACCTTCTTCTCAGTACTCAGTTGTAGATCGATGGATGCTATTTTTGTCTAGGAATGGTCTCGCGAATCTCACTCTTCAGAATCAAAACAATGGCAATGCTCCTTATAAATTGCCTTCATATGTGTATGGTGTGGGACTAGAACGTTTGGCCCTGTTGAACTGCATTTTCAGGACACCATGCAGTTTTAGGGGTTTCCACATGCTCAAACGGATTCACCTTAAGCGATTTGCCTTTGAATTAGACGTTGCACATTCTTCCCTTTGGATGCCAAACCTTAAGATTCTGTGTTTTATGTATTGCAGTGGTCTTCGTTTCTTCAATATACATGCCCCAGAACTTTCAATATTATTTTTGCATAGCTGTGGTACCCTTAAATTGAGTTTTTTCATGGAATGTGAGAAGCTGAGAATACTTGGATTTACATCCCAAGAAGATGTATCACAAAATAGACAAGATAACGCGATGAATTTGACCAATTTTCTCAGCTGTTGGCATAATGTTAGTTATCTTATTTTGGGCAGATACTTCCTCAAGGTTAGTTGCAAATATTGATTTATCCGCACAGCTCAGAATAATGCACATATATGTAATGTTTAACCTTATTCTTTTGTGTTTTTTTGCTGTCTAGGTTTTGGCTTCAGGTACTAGAGCAGAGAGTCTTCCCACGCGCCTCACCAATTTGAGATCTCTCTATTTTATTCGTTATAATTTTGATGGTGAAGATCAAATATTTGCCCTTCTAAGGATTCTTAGAAGTTGTCCCAATTTGAAGATACTTCAATTTCTTGTAAGTAGCTAAATTCATGAGTTGGTTAATCATTTTATGAGTAAAGAGCTGAAAACATTACTTCACTTTTAAACTACTTTTAGTCCAGCCAGGGGAAGAAAGGTGATATGGAAGTTGATGTAAATTATTTTGAAGAACCAGACTGCGCGGAACCAGGATTCAATAATCTTCAAACATTGCGTATAAGCAAATTCTATGGTTCAAGAACTGAATTGCGCTTTGTAAGGTTCATACTTGGCTCTGCCCCTTTACTCCGTAAGGCCATCCTTTTGGTAGATTCAAGTATTAATGAAAGCCAATCCTTGAAGATCTCAAAGGAGTTGATGCGGTTCCCTCGGGCATCTCCTAAATCTGAAATTGTATTCGAACCAAGAAAGAAACTATTCTAGTGCTACGTTGTTGAGATGGCCGGAACTCCTTTCTCAACTCTTCATATCATCTTGATTCTTGCCTTCTGGTTGTTTTATTGACTATCGAGAGGTAATTCATGTGATACATTTACTCCTTATTTTAAGTTAAGACTCGGTCAAATTTACAATACTAAGTCTATGGTAAGTGGTAAAGTTGCCGCCGTGTGATCAGGAGGTCACGAGTTCAAGCCGTGAAAACAGCCTCTTGCAGAAATACAGGGTAAGGCTGGGTACAGTAGACCCTTGTGGTTCGGCCCTTCCCAGACCCCGCGCATAGCGAGAGCTTAGTGCACCGGACTGCCCTTTTTAAGTCTATGGTACACATTACCATTTCATATAACAATTGTTAAGCAATTGTTGAAGGACTGCATTTTTCTGTATAATATCCCAAGCTGATGCATGCAGAGAGAACTAAATCTGGTGTGAATAACTAAATATGTGCATTAGCTCTGTATTTTTGAAGGCAGTAAGCCTGAGATCGAAATTAAGTTAAGGAATTTCGTGCTATTAATTCCTGCTTTCTGTAAACCAGTATATTTTCTTTCAATTTGTAGCATTGCAGAGGTAAAGAAACAAACTACTTTGACTTGTTACTTTTTTTTCCTTCTGCTACTATGTACTGGTATAAAATGGTTTCGAGAAAAATAGACAGAAACGTGGTGAATTAACATCTTATCTCGAAGAAGTGCTCTTGAAGTGGTAATTGTTTGACTTAAAAAGTTATCGAACAATATTTAAGCAAATCAATCAATATACAAGAAGGGGGTAAATCGTAATCGAAAATAATTGACTCTAGGATGGGTTTCGCCCTTTTGTGCGTGATAATCAGAGGAACTTAGAAGCAAAACAATATGATGTTTGTTAGAGAGATGAGAGAGAATAAATCAGATAGAGAGAGAGTGAGTCAGATAGAGAGAGTGTTATTGATCAAAATCCCATCCTTTACACAACTGAGAACCCCCCTTATATAGCGGAGGGGTTTCATTTTAACTATCAATAAAGTATAAAGATAAAGTACGTGATAAAGATAAAGGACACGCTATAGAGGGGCCGACATGGTTGCGTGGTCGTCCCTTATATTGTCCTTGGGTCATCCCTTCAGCCGGACCTCTGTATATACGGTTGGTCGTGCTTGCTTGGGGGCGTGGTCGGTCAAATTCGACCCCATACAGTTAGTCCCTCCGCTCGTCGGGGTCGCAGCGAGGTGCGTCCTCGACGGGCGGAATTAACACCTTTAATTTTGGAGAGTTTGACCCTGCCAAGGGACCGTGATGTGACATATAGGAGGCAGTCATCATGACTGTCAGGTCGTCAAAATGTGACACCTTTCCCAATGTGACGTCAGCGTCCGCAGGCGTCATCATTACGCGTATTCTCGAGGTAGGAACACAACAGCTCCGGCGCTTGGTTTCCCGCACTGGTTCAAATTCTGCCTCTTCGATTCTTGCGCATCTCAATCCTTATAAATAGGGGAAGGGTTTAACTTGACCCAAACTTTTGATCATTTACACTCCACCCTTTCAGTGTACACTTCCTTCTTCCGGTGTGTTTTCCTTGATTGAGAACCCTCCTTCCCTGTATCGTTCAAAGCTCTTTCCTTATCGTGATCATGCCTAAACCTCGCCGTGGTAACGAGAGGATTCCGGCAGCCGCTCCGTCGAACACGCCACCGCCTTCTGATGGCGGCGGGGCGGAGGAGGAAGAAGATATGAGTCCTCTTACCGTGGAGGCACTGCTACCACAACGCACCTCATCCCGAAGTGATTTTAATAAGGATTCCGCTGTTCCGGTCCCGGAGTCTTCCAAAACGTTACAGAATCACTTGGATAACCTCCGTGTTAAATACAATATACCAGCATATGTAGAGATGATCCCGGCTGGAGAGGATCACGTGGATGTTCATAGGCCAGGGTTTTGCGCCTTTTACGAATATCCATTCACGATTGGTTACAACCTTCCCATCTTTCCCTTGGCGGAGGAGTTTTGCCGGTTTTACAACGTCTGCCCGGCTCAGCTCACGCCATACACTCTGAAGGTGCTTCTGTTGTTGACTAAGTATGCGGAGTTGGCTGGATGTGGCGTCACGGTCCATCACCTCCTGCAGCTGTTCAGCGCTTGCTATTTGAGGGGGACCATGGTACATCTACGAGGCCGTGGCACGAGGGGGTTAGTGGTCAAGACCGACGATCGGGCTAGTCGCGGGTTTTGGCGCAAATATTTCTTTGTTAGGACCGAGCACCTGGTCTCCAACCCCGTCGGATTCCCGGAGAGGTGGAATTCAAAACGTAAGTGTCGCTGTCCGTTACATATTTTTGTTTGCGATCATTGCCATTCTAACCCTTTATGTTACAGCTATGGCTCATCCGCTATGGCCCGTTGCCAACCTTAGGGGATGGGTCGCTGGTTTGCTACCTCACGCGAAGGAGACTCGTACTTGGCCTGTCTTTAGGCAGCGCTACGGCCCAAGAGTCTCTTCAGGTAAATTTCCGATTTCTGTCGTGTACAGTTTGTGATTCCGCTTATTCTCCTTCTTACATATTTGTATGGTCGACAGGTCGAGGTGCCTCGAGGAAGAAGACGGCAGTCCCTGTTCCCAAGCGAGCTAACGTTGCTTTGGACGATCAAGATATATTGGTCGAGTCCTTCCAAGGGGGACCTTCTCCAGTTCCTTTACGAGGGGCTACCTCCACGACCATAGTAATGTGGGAGCCGACTCCCTCGGTGCCGGCTTCTCAACCCATGGGCGAGCCCTCTGATGGCGAGGAGTCGCCAGAGAGGAAATGGAGGAAGCTCGAGAAAGGCAAGGCGGTGGCGACTGAAGCCAAGAGGAATGAGGTACCTCGGCCAACGCCCAGACCTGCGTTCATGGCCGATGCCATTCTTTCGGGGAGGTCGGCTCAGCAGAGGGGTACGGCTCCAGGCGTTAGCTCCGCACGGGTCGTCGGGGGGGGGGGGAGGGGGGGAACCATCGACTAACGTTGAGGAACCCAGTGGTGTGGCGGAAGGATCGGGCTTCGACATTGCTCAGGGAGATGTCGACGAGTTTGTGGCTGGTCTTACCCGCGTAGAGATGACGACGGATGGCTCTGACCGTCGCATTACTATTCCGGCGACATTTAATCTCTTGTCAAACAGTGAGCAGGCCTTCGACCTTCACCTTGCTGTGTGACGCCCACGAAGTAGGACGCTCAGTACGGTGGGTGACGCGGAGTTGTCCCGTAGGGTGTCGGGCATGGCTCTACAGGTACTTTTTATTCTCTTTCTTCCTTTCGTATATTGTCGGGCAGGTTTGGAATATACTTACTTTCGCTTTTTCTCTTCTCTTTACAGATCTTTGTCTTGGAGGTGGAGAGGGGACACCGTGAGCAGAAACGGACTGCCCTCTTTAAGAAAATGTTAAAGAAATATAGGAAGTACCGCTCTAAACATCGAGCGGAGGTTGATCGGGGGCAGTCCCAGTCGGAGTGTAAAGGAGCCGAGCTGGAGGAGGCGGACAGCGAGCTGATGAGAGCCGTAGCCTGCAACAACGAGTTAGAGGAGCTCCTTAGATCCAAAGATGACGAACTCGAATTGAGCCGTGGGGTGGCGGCGGAGAACATCAATCTTCAACGGAGGGTGGCGGAGCTGACTGTCGAACTCGATGCCAGGGCGGCGGAGATCCACAGGCTTTTACGGCCTCCCACTTCTCGCCCTTCGCCTGAACAGCTTGCGCGTCGTAATGCGCATGAGATGTGGATTTTCGCGGAGGCCAAGCTCGATGTGTATAGCGAGCTTCATGCTGCGGGCCGGGCCACTGAGGAAGAAGTCCAGGCACGGAGGGACGAGGCTCGTGCCGCTCGTGAAGTTTGCGGTTACGATGCCGACTCTCCCGAGGGGGGGGGGGGAAGGGGGCTCGCTTCCGAAGATGTCAACCATCTTGACTCTGGCCCTTGGTATGATGATGCTTACCAGTCGGGGGGTGATGGGCAATCTTGACCTTTTGCATATTGACCTTTTGTATATATATTTTTTGTTTGTATAATGTATTGGGACCCGTCCATGGGGACGAATGTAAACATGATTTTTGTCATGATACAACTTTTACCTTTATTGCTTTGTCTGTTTGTCGTGATGCTTAGTCTCCGTAGAGATTCTTTTTCGTTCGTTGAATTGTCGTGCCGTGGTTCGACCGGGGTCGAACTGATATCGATGGCCTTAGCCATTAGGATGTTACTTCGACTGTCGTCGAGGTAGTATCCGTCGTGGTTTGAACGGGGTCGAATCGATGTCGATGGCCTTAGCCATTAGGATGTTACTTCGACTGTCGTCGAGACTGTCGTCGAGGTAATATCCGTCTTGGTTCGAACGGGGTCGAACCGATGTCGATGGCCTTAGCCATTAGGATGTTACTTCGACTGTCGTCGAGGTAGTACCCGTCGTGGTTCGAACGGGGTCGAACCGATGTCGATGGCCTTAGCCATTAGGATGTTACTTGGACTGTCGTCGAGGTAGTATCCGTCGTGGTTCGAACGGGGTCGAACCGATATCGATGGCCTTAGCCATTAGGATGTTACTTCGACTGTCGTCGAGGTAGTATTCGTCGTCGAATGTCGACTGCCTCTTGCTCATGTAATGGAGATCTTGTTCGTACAATGGAGAATTCTGTTCATACAATGGAGAATAGTGGAGAAATCTAGGGTAGTCCCTTTACTATGTTGGCCTGCGGACTGTGTCGGCTGGCCGATATAGTGAACTTGTTTATTGTTCCACCGGGCGTCCCCTTCGTCGCCTCGTTAAAAACCTTCCCGAGAAAACCCAATTGGGACAAAACTCGGGCCAGGGAAAAATGGTACGACTTGGGAGACGCCTTTCAGAAGTGGAAGTGTTTGAGATGGGCGATGTTCCAATTGTTTGGGAGTAGTTTTCCCTCCATCGTCTCTAGTTGGAATGCTCCTTTGCTCGCTGCTGCTGTGATTTTGTATGGCCCGTCCCAGTTGGTTCCTAACTTTCCCTCGTTCGGGTCTTTTGATGCTAGTGTTTTGGCTTTGAGGACATAATCGCCGACTCTGAGCGGTCTTACCCTGGCTTTCTTGTTGTAATATCTTTCTGCTTGTTGTTTTTGGGCGGCCATTCTTATATGGGCCATGTCTCTTCGTTCTTCGGCTTCGTCTAGGTCTTGTAACCTGCTGTCGTCGTTGTCCGCTCCACTAGTGTGGGAGTATCTCAAACTAGGTTCTCCGATCTCGACGGGTATAACTGCATCAGTTTCGTAGACCAGCGAGTACGGTGTTTCTCCCGTGCTGGATTTGGGTGTAGTCCGGTATGCCCATAGCACTTCGGGTAGTAATTCGGGCCATAGTCCTTTGGCTTCTTCTAGCTTCTTTTTTAGTATGTTTAGTATTGTTTTGTTGGAGGACTCGGCTTGGCCATTAGCAGCAGGGTGATATGGGGTGGAGAGTATCCGCTTGATGTGCCATTTCTTGAAGAATTCGGTTGTCTTTTTGCCGATGAACTGGGGCCTATTATCGCAACTGATTTCTTTGGGGATGCCGAAATGGCATATGATGTTTTTCCATATGAATGCGAATACCTCTTGCTCGCGTATTTGTGCGTACGCACCTGCTTCCACCCATTCAGAAAAATAATCAATTAAAACTAACAGAAAGCGTACGTTTCCTCGTCCTGCCGGTAGAGGGCCGATTATATCCATTCCCCATTTTATGAATGGCCATGGCGAAGTGACCGAATGGAGGAGTTCTCCTGCCTGGTGTATCATAGGGGCGTACTTTTGGCATTGTTTACATTTTCGGACATAGTCCGCTGCCTCTTTCTTCATGGTGGGCCAGTAGTAGCCGGCGCGTATGAGGCATCGGACAACAGCGCGGTTCCCCGTATGGGCGCCACAATGACCTTCATGCACTTCTTCTAATACTTGCCTAGTCTGGTGTGGCCCTAGACATTTAGCAAGGGGACCACCGAACGTTCTCTTGTAGAGATCGTGATTTATTAGGCTGTAGCGGGCTGCTTGCACCCGAAGTTTCTTGGCCTCCTTTTTGTCGCGTGGGAGTGTCCCGTCCTACAGGTAGGATACAAACTGGTTGCGCCAGTCCCAAGTCAAGTTTAGAGAGAGTACCTCGACGTGGTCGACGGCTGAATGGAGGAGAGTGACCACGTTTTCTTTGTTGATATTTTTGGTGGTCGCGGCCAGCTTTGCCAGGCTATCCGCTTTGACATTTTGTCCCCTGGGAATTTGCTCGAAGCGGCATTCGTCGAACTCCGGCATCAGCTTATGGATTTCTGACTGGTATTTTTGTAGCCTCTGCTCTTTGATTTGGTAGGTTCCGGTGACTTGGTTTACTACGAGTTGAGAGTCGCAATGGAGGATGAGCCGACGGGCCCCGTATTTGATGGCTAGCTTCATTCCTGCAATCACAGCCTCATACTCGGCCTCGTTGTTAGTCATCTCGGGACATCGTATGGACTGGCGAATTACTTCTCCCGTGGGGACTTTGAGGATGAGTCCCAGTCTCGATCCCGAGGCATTCGCAGCGTCGTCAGTGTAGAGAGACCAGAGGTCGGTGTGGGCGGAGGCGCGGAGGGCCTCCTGTTCCACCTCTGGCAATATCCCTGTGCTGAAGTCGACGACAAAGTTGGCAAGTACCTGTGACTTGATGGCGGTTCTTGGATGATAGGTTATATCATGCTCGCTGAGCTCTATGGCCCATTTGGCGAGCCTACCCGAGAGTTCGGGTTTATGTAGGATGCCCCTTAGGGGGAAGGTCGTTATTACTTTTATGGGATGGCATTGAAAATAGGGTCTAAGCTTTCATGAAGCTACGACTAATGCCAAAACCAGCTTTTTGAGGTGCGGGTACCTTGTTTCGGCGTCTATTAAAGTTTTGCTGATATAGTAAATAGGGGATTCCGTACCTTTGTTTTCGCGAACTAGGACGGCGCTGACAGCAACTTCAGACACCGTCAGGTACACGAGTAGGCACTCGCCTGGGTCTGCTTTGACGAGCAAAGGTGGCGAAGATAGATATTCCTTCAATTTCCTTAGTGCTTTGATGCATTCCTCGTTCCATTGCAGCCCTCGATCTTTTCTCAGTAAATTGAAGAATTTGTGGCATCTGTCCGAGGATCGCGAGATGAACCTGGATAAAGCGGCTATTCACCCTGTTAGTTTCTGCACCTGCTTCTTGCTATTCAGGATCTCGGGTATCGTGTCTGTGGCCTTGATCTGGTCCGGGTTGACTTCGATACCTCGCTGTGATACGAGAAAACCCAGGAATTTTCCTGAAGCCACGCCGAAGGCGTATTTTTCTGGGTTTAGTTTCATCCCGTACTGTCTTAGTATCTCGAAGGCTTGCTTTGGATGGTCGATATGGTCCTCCTTTTTGGCCGACTTTACTAGCATGTCATCGATGTAGACCTCCATTGTCTTGCCGAGCTGGTCTTTGAACATATTGGTGACCAACCTCTAGTATGTTGCACCCGCGTTTTTGAGCCCAAAGGGCATCACCTTGTAGCAGTATGTCCCCTGGTGAGTAATAAAAGTCGTCTTCTCTTGGTCTTCTTCGGCCATCAGGATCTGATTGTAGCCAGAGTAGGCATCCAAGAAGCTTAGCAGCTCGTGCCCGGCTGTCGCGTCTATCAACTAATCGATGTGAGGTAATGGGAAGGAGTCCTTTGGGCATGCCTTGTTCAGGTCGGTGAAGTCTACGCACATCCTCCATTTCCCGCTTTTCTTTTTTACCATGACTACATTGGCGACCCATTGGGGGTACTTCGATTCTCTGATGGAACCATTGGCCAGCAGTTTATCTACTTCTTCGTTGACTGCCTCGTTGATCGCGGCATTGAATTTCCTTCTTATCTACCGTATGGGCGGGTAAAGTGGGTCGACGTTCAGTTTGTGAGTGGCGATGTGCTTTGGGATCCCCGGCATGTCTGAATGCGAGAAGGAGAACAAACCTGCATGGTTAGTTAAGAATTCATGGTACTTACCTGGGTCGGAGAGGTTATGCCCGATGTAGGCTTTTTTTCGAACTGTCGGTATTGTCGAGCATGACAGGGTCGAGATCCTCGATTGTCGCTTTGCAGGCTTCTACGACGTCTGGGTCCCTAATGCCCTCCGTTGTCGGGTTGATTTTAGTTCCCGACATGGCTGATTGCTATGCTTCCACGCTTGCTCCTTTCAGTTGCTTGGTATGAGCGCAGTCCTGGGCGATCCGGTAACATTCTTGGGCAGTGCGTGGTTCACCTCGGATACTGAAGATTCCCCATGGGGTGGGAAACTTGATTACCTGATAGAGACTCGAGGGGATGGCTCGCATGGCGTGTATCCATGGACGTCCTATACTGACGTTGTAAGCCGTTTCCTGGTTCATGATGTGAAATGTGGTTTCCAGCGTGACTCCTCCCGCCAGGACTGGCAATGATATTTCTCCGGAGGTACGCTCTACTCCATTGTTAAAACCTGTCAGTGTTATGTAACGCGGTATTACCTTATCTTCGAGCCTCATTTGCGTGAAAACCCTCGGGTGGATAATACACGCGTCGCTTCCGAAGTCTACCATGATTCTTTTTACATCAGTATCAGTAATGCGTAAAGTTATAACTAAAGCATCATAATGAGGGAAAGACAAACCGTCGGCATCAGACTTATCGAAGGTGATACTACCTTCGAGGTCATCATACCGTTCGTGAGCGATCGTGCGTTTCAACTTGTGTGTGGAGTTTAATTTTACGTGGTTGATCGTTGAGTCGTCACCGCCGCCGACGATCATCTGTATGGTTCGTGCTGGGGATGGCGGTTTTGGTGGTCCTTGAGATTGATCGCGTCCCCTGGCGAAGTTGGCTCTTCCTTTGTCGCTGAGCAGCTCCTTCAGGTATCCTTGGTTCAGCATTCTGACTACTTCTTGTCGTAGACCTATGCAATCTTCGGTCCTGTGTCCTCTTTCCTGGTGGAACTCGCATAGGACGTTTGATTTCCTTGCGCTAGGATCTGATTTCATTTTCTGTGGCCATTGTTCCTTCGTACCCAGCTTCTCCAGTGCGTACACTATTTCTGAAGGTGAGACACAAAAGTTATGAGCGGATAATAATGGGGGCATACCTCATTCATTCCGAAGGGGGGCGGTGTGTCGTTGCAAGGCGTCCGGATGTCTCGGAAGAGGTGGGTTAGGGGCTCGAGCATAGGGCTGATGCCTTTCTCTTTTGAACCGTGGGGGTGGTTCCCGTCGCCCGTCGTTGCATCGATCTCTCCTGATTTCTGACTGTACCGATGTCAACCGATGGGTTGGATGTCTGCCCTTACTTCTGCGCAATAGGCATTGTGGATCTCCTCCCATGTAGTGGGGGGATACTTCATGAGTCGGCTGAGTAGCTTCTTGGTCGCTTTTGACCCATCTCTATTCAACCCATTTTGGAAGGCGGCGACCGCCATTCCTTCCGATACGTTAGGCAGGCTCATTTTTAACCTGTTGAATCGTGCTAGGAAGTCCCTGAGCCCTTCGCCCGTCGTTTGCCTGATCGCAAAGATGTCATTAACTCTTGCTTCATCCTTCTTTGCTCCTGCATGAGCGGTGGCGAATTTATCCGTCACGTCTTCAAACGTTGATATCGATCTAGCTGGTAGTTGTGAGTACCATGTTAGCGCTCCTCCTGTCAAAGTTTCTCCGAACTTTTTCAGCAATACGGACGGCATCTGTTCTTTTGATAAGTCGTTTCCTTTTACAGCGGTTACATAGTGGATCAGATGATCTTCCGGATCCGTGGTCCCGTCATATATTCTCAAGTATGGGGGCATCTTGAAGGTTTTAGGGATTGGGTGAGGAGCAGCTTCCTCGCTATATGGTTGCTCGACGAACCTTCCTACGTCGCGTTTTGGCAGTAGTTTCGGGGCACCGGGTCTTTTGTCTACCCTTTCCTGATGCTCCTTCATTTGGTCACGGAGCACCTTATTCTCGTTCTCCATTTCTTCCATTTTCCTTAGGACGGTCGCAAGTGCATTGTCGCTTGTGTTGATATCTGTATGGGCGCTGCTCGTCCGCATAGCACTTGGTTCACCGGCGGCTGCAGCGGTTTCTGCCGTTGGCGAGTCTTTGGGGTTTCCCGGGGACGGTTTCTCGAGCAGGCCACTTAGGGTGTTCGTCAATCACTCCTCCAGTAACTTTTTGACTACTGGAGGCGTTTCCTTTACTGCAGACGTTGAAGCCCCTCTTTCGTGCAAGATCGTTAGATCTTCGAGTGAGGAGGGCGAAATTTCCTCCTCCGGAACACTACTTGGTGTTATGTTTGCAATATTTTCTCTACCGGCCTTGTTTGAGGGGGCCCATAAGGTTGGTTGAGACATCGGCTATCATCTTCAGCCTAGATTCTTTATCTGCAATTTGCTGGTTCTACGGAGTTTTTAGGATAGCGATTGTTGTTTTCGATATCCTAGATGTGAACTATGATTTCGACTACCGAAATTCCCACAGACGCGCCAAATTGTTTGACTTTAAAAGTTATCGAACAATATTTAAGCAAATCAATCAATATACAAGTAGGGGGTAAATCGTAATCGAAAATAATTGACTCTAGGATGGGTTTCGCCTTTTTGTGCATGATAATCAGAGGAACTTAGAAGCAAAACAATATGATGTTTGTTAGAGAGATAAGAGAGAATAAATCAGATAGAGAGAGAGTGAGTCAGATAGAGAGAGAGTGTTATTGATCAAAATCCCATCCTTTACACAACTGAGAACCCCCCTTATATAGCGGAGGGTTTCATTTTAACTGTCAATAAAGTATAAAGATAAAGTACATGATAAAGATAAAGGACACGCTATAGAGGGGCCGACGTGGTTGCGTGGTCGTCCCTTGTATTGTCCTTGGGTCGTCCCTTCAACCGGACCTTTGTATATACGGTTGGTCGTGCTTGCTTGGGGGCGTGGTCGGTCAAATTCGACCCCATACAGTAATGTAGGACCAGCTACTGGCGCCATGAGTAAAATATTAAAAAAATGACATTATATAGCTGCTCTCAAATAACAGCTGAAAAATATATACATCATATTAACAGAAGTTGTATGTTTTAGTGTTGTTTATCAATGGCTGAAGTGTACGGAGTTTCTTTCTACGGTGACCAATTAGAGGTTACTGTAACAAAAAATAATGGAAAAGCCAGAGAATATTACTTTGAGTAAGTGGGATGCTGAGAATTTGAGCTATGAACAAGTTGAATATGGTGCTATTGATGCTTTTGTGTCGTTTGAGATTGGAAAGAAATTGTTTAATGAAATAGCAGAAAGAGAGAAGGCATTGAATTGCCATTATCAGCCATTGAACTTCCATTACTCGCCACGACAGCTGCTACAAGAAACACAGGGAATGGTTCAAAATCTTGTATTGTTTTGAATCTGAAATAACACACATTAGAAAAAGTACAAACTAGTAAACTTTGAACATGTAATATGTATTGATTTTGATATTACAGATAGTAACATAAATTTTGAGTTCAAACTAGTTTTGTGTGTTTTTTTTTCTTTTTTCCCTCACAAAAATCTTTAGAATCGGTCTAAGAGAATTAACCCAAATCTTTGCATAGGCGCGTTCGATGTAGCAGATATCTCGTGGAATTAGTCCAGACACAACGGTTATTAAAAAAAAAGGTTCTATAATAGCAAAAGTTTATAATCCTTAGACCATTTCCTTATCTTCCTTAGCCTGATCTATCAAAATCCTAATTTACTTTTTCCAAGTTGTAGACTACTTTAGCTGCCACTAGAGGTTATGGCAGAGTAAATGTAGTACTCCTTATTTAGAGTTTTCGGGTTCGAGTTCAGGGTAAAGAGTCGTCTTTGGTAGAACTTCGTTGCGAATCCGAATTAGTCAAGTTCCAAAGCAGATACTGGAAGACTACTTGGAGCTAGAGTAGAAGTCAAAGATGGAAATTTGAAAGAAATTTTTCATCCGAGAAAAATGAGGATAGTGTTGAAGGAATACAACACTAAATAACTTTGTCAATATTTTTTATTTAGGCACTTCAACTAAGATCATAATTTATTGAATATCATATGTATAACAATATAAATAGGGTATAAACACACCGAAAATTGAACGCTTATTATCGAAAAATATAGAGTTGCGCTTAAAAAGTATCGTCTTCTCTTTCAAAACGTGAAAATTTGAAATAAAAACCTGGAAGGACCCAAACAGAGTTGTTTTCTTCAATTTTCTAGTTCAGTTTTCTGTAAAATAATATCTTAATAGATTATATACATATATGAAAATAATAATAATAATAATAATAATAATAATAATAATTATTATTATTATTATTATTGTAGTATTTTCTTCAGATGACATTTAAGGAGAACAATAATTTTGAAAAATAAACATGCGTTTACATAATTTCTAAGAACAATATGCTTAACAAATGACTTGGTCAAGAAAACAATATAAAATTACATCAACACAAGCAAAAAATATTGAATAGAATTAGAATAAATAAGTACTTATTGTGAAGTGAAGTATAAGAAAGAAATAATAATCCGAGGAATGCATTAAAGAAAGTCTAAGAAATGTAAACACTGTTTCAGTCAAAGGAGGAAAATGGTTTAAGTAAAGAAGCAATATTCTCAAGGATTAAAATTACGTTTAACCTTCATTTATTTTAATAAAAATATCATTATGGAAGAAAATAAAGTAAAGCTCATTAATTAAAGGGTTCAAAAAGTTCTTGAAAAGTGAATTGTCAAATTCATAACTGACTTCAATGTATTAAATAATAAATATTACCATCCGATTTCTTTTTTAAAACTAACTGTACTCTAATATTTAAAATATTAATTATAATTACAATTTTATCTAAGTCGGGACGTATTTTTAAAATATTTCAGTGAAACAACGTATGTTTCCTGCTAGTTATTACAAAATTTGTATCCAAAACTAAGAAATTTTAATAGCTAACTTATTCTAAGCACACTTATTAGCATTATAAAATTAAATTTTGAATATTAAGAAAGTTTATTAGGGTAATCATATTAAGTTTGAATATGTTATGTACGTTTATGTTACTTGAATTCAAAATAGTTGTGTTGACGGTCAACTTTGACCCTCTCCTTTTAAATTAATTTAATTATACTTAATAATTTACAATAAATATTTTAAAAGTATTTTCTAGTAATGAATACCTATTCTTGCAAATTAATTCAAGTGATAGTTTTGAAATTAATCGCGTAGTGTTAACGTTATGTAATTACAAATATATTTACTATTTTTAATATTATTAAAATAACTTTTTATATATACATTATCTAGGTTCTATAATTAATTTAATAAATTACACTTTAATTTCTAGCTAGTTAGATCATTATATGAAAATTCCAAGTTAGTGTTACCATGCAGAAAATAAAGTATTTTTATAAATAATCAATTTAAAATAATTAGTAGTATATAATAATTATTTGTACCATATTTTATTGAATTCAAAGGGGTTAAAAGACCAAAATGCCACAATTGCAATTCTCAAGTCAAATGCAAGATGGCCATTACTTAAATTATTTTGACTCAATGCATCAGCCCAATCCGGAAAAAAGACCCATGTCTAATTCCCATCTCTCCACCATAGCAATCCCCGTTGTTTCTTCTCGTCCAATAAGGTCGTGCCACATCATCCGTCTCCCACCCTCACAAAATAAACATAACAAATCTGGGTCGTTTGTGTCCTAGATCAACGGCCCACGACTTTTAACCTCATTTCCTCTTTAACTTTTAACACTAGCAGATTTAATCTCGATCGTTGGAACACAAGAATCCAACGACCACAAAATTTTTCCACAAAAATATTTTAACACCAAAATGCCAGGACCGTTGATCTTTTAGATCAACAACCCAGATCAACCTTTCATTATTAACCCTAGAGATCAGCCCCAATTACCTAAACCCTAAATCATTTCATCTTTGACCTTGCCGCCTCTCTTTCCCCTTCTTCTCTCTCTTTTCTCTTGACCTCACAAACCAAATCAAT